CATTTTATTTTTGGGAAGGGGGGTAGTTATTGAGTCTTTTGTCTTTATAAAGTTCTATCCATCGTAGAAAGGATGACGCGTAGCACAGATATTTCAGTGTTAGGCCTCATTCACACGTGAAACGCCGACCCGCACAGGTCCGCGCTGCGTACACGGCCGCATCGGGCCGCTCCCGGGAAGGACAAGTGCTGCGTGTGATTTATACGCAACAGCCTGTCCTTCTCCATGGGGGTACACAACCGTACGCACCCGACCTGCATGCCCGTTCGGTTGTCAGTACTCGTATGCTGACAGGATGGATCCTGTCTGCGTCCGCATCCGTACGGACGTGCAGGTTGGGTGACTGTACGGCTGCGTACTCCCATGGAGAAGGACAGGCTGTTGCGTATAAATCACAGGCATAAATCTGTACGGTCTGGCCGTTTCTCGTGTGAATGAGGCTTTAATGTATACAGTGATATGTTGGTAATTTGTATTCTATTCTGCGGCTCTCTAACTGTCTTTTTTTACTCCATTTCAGTAGGCAAAATGGCCGACGATATCCGTACAAAGATTGCGAATTACAAGACCGCACCATTTGATGCCCGTTTTCCTAACCAGAACCAGACCAAACATTGTTTCCAGAACTACCTGGATTTCCATCGATGTGAGAAGTCTTTAAGCAGTAAAGGACAAGATCCCTACCCATGCCAGTGGTATTTCCGTGTATACAAGTCCATGTGCCCCAACTCTTGGGTGGAGAAGTGGGACGACCAGAGAGAAGCGGGCATATTCCCGTGCAAAATCTGAAGGGGTCTACGTTGACCTTGTGAACTCGATTCCTGTAATCTTGGTCGGCACGCACGCAGGACCCGATGCTTCAGCCAGTTTCGTCCATTTAAATTTGCTTCTGTTGTAAATCGATGGAGAGCATCCAGTACATATTATTTCTCTGTCAATAAAAAATCCGAAAACTATTCCCACCGACTTCCCTGTCATTGTTGTGCTGAAGTTCAAGTGTAAAGGTAAGGGGCCCAATCGGACCTTGCTGTCCTGGTGTGTTGCGTTAAGACGCAGCCCATTCATATGCACGGGGTGACAACACTCCAGAATGTCCAAAAAAAAGGGACATGCACCATTTTTGGCAGCGCATCACAGTACAATGCAGTGCATTACCCCCACAGCAGGGCTAAGGCCTCATTCACACTAGACGTAGTGCGTTCCGGCCCGATTCTGGACAGAACGCACCATCGCATTGCGGCCGGCTCACTTTTATGTGTGGCAGGAGGGGGCGTGGCGGTCCATTGAAGTGAATGGCACCGTAGTGTGATTGGCCGCATCGGGATCGCAAGGCACATTTATGCCTGCGGTCCGGTCCGAACAAAACAGTGCTTGCAGCATTTTGTTCGGACCGGACTGCAGGCATAAATGTGCCTTGCGGCCGGAGGGCGTGGCTATGGTGCCATTCACTTCAATGGACCACCATGCCCCCTCC